AGATAAACTGCCATAGAGAGAAAAGACTGACAAAACACTGCTCCCCCTATAACTGACAATCACTGACAAGATCAACTACAAGAACCACTACCACTGACTATGCCATCGCTGCCCACTGACACTTGCGAGGCTTGGCCTCAATCCATACTCGTGGGCTTGGCCCTGAGTTTATCTGCCACTAACAACTGACAAGCACTGACTTGCTGCCCCAAACTCACTGCACAAGATAGAATAGGAAGTATACATAAGTAACATTATATTCTAGAGGAGCAATGGTCCTTAGAAGAAGCAAGCAATTAGATAAGAAAAGAGGAGATGGCTTGCTACCTTAAATCATAGCCGGGACCTGTGAAAAGGTGAGAACCGAGCACGTCGGGGCACCACACAATCATGGCAAGGGATCTGCAAGCGAAAGTAGCTGAGGAAAGAATCAAGAACATGTGCTAGACTGGTAGAAGCATTCTATAGACCACTTAGGGGCAGGCAGAGTGCTCACCCTAGAGGAATCGGCAGCGGACCAAGGAAACACCGGACATGGAGCTCTGGACGCTGAGAACATGAGCACTGAGTTACCGTGGTCAAGTAAGGAGATGGCGTGACCGGCGGTGGTAGTGGATCCCGGTGGCGGTGGCGACTGCCCTCGTCGCGGTGAGCAAGGGCGTGGTAGAACACGGGCATGAGGGTGGCGCGAGCGCGGGGTGAACGGGCAGCCACGGTGGCGGTGCTGCGCGCGGGCGCGCGGATGAGGCGACCAGAGCCAGTGACGGTGCGCGGTGGCCGAAGTGGCAAGCGCAGCGGCTAGGGTTGCGCGAGCGGTATGGGCGGTGGCATGCGCGAGAGAGAGAGAGCGTGGCGGTTCTGATTTTGGGAAGGGAGATAGAGCGGCCCCACTTGACAGTAAGAGTGTGAGCACAGGAGGTTGCCGAAAAGGGAAGTGCTGGCCCCATGTGTTAGCCGGATTTTGAAAACAAACGCGCTTCCACTGTTGCGACCGGACGCACACGTGGAGACGACCTGATGCTGCATTCTCAGAGTCAGGTCACATATAGAGAGCACCAGAAAGGCTCTCGACACGACCTGACATGTCCGTTTTATGATGATTGGACGTGGCCTAGAGTCCGGTCTTCTTCTCTAAAACACCACGTAATGATCGAACACCGCATAGACTTAACACCGGACGCGGCGTGGTCACTGTTCATGCATCAGGTCCATAGAGCACTGATCGGACACTGCAGATGGAGAGTCTGGTCCTGAGTCAGGTGCTGCGTCTGGTCCTCTTCTAGCAACAGATCCTCCTTCTTCCTTCACGACATTTTCTCCCAATCAAGTTCCAATTCAAATACAAATAACCACCAATTGGAACTTATATGAGAGACCTCTCTCAAACCCTCAAAATTTTCAAAATATTTTGCCTTAGGCTATGTATATTTTTATGAAAATAAGCGATAAAAGGGGTGAGGAGCACCATGTGGCCACACAATAGGGATTTCAACCATTAGGAGTTTCAAATGCTCTTTCTATTTGTGGACGAACACAGCGGGTGCTCAAAACTTAACCGAAAAGAAATGACAAAGCAACACACATGCATATGCAATGCAATACAAGAATGGTAAATCTAGTTGCTTGTCAAGTTTGATCCAAGGTTAAGCTTTTTCACACACTTTTTAGCGGATATCTTAACCATGTTAGACAAGCCCTAAGTGTATTACTGAAAATTAAACATGTTTTATATTACAATGCAATGCAAGGGATAACACAAGCTTATTGAAAGGATCAAGATGCCCAAGAGGGGGTGAATTGGGCTATTTCTAAATTTCTTGCAATAATTAAACCCTACACTTAGCCCATTTCACTCCCTTGTGCCTAAAAGTGTTCGCTATGATCTACCGCACAAAAGTTTTGCACCCTAGGTTCCAATCCTACTCTAGCATGCAATTCTAAGAATGTAAAGACATGAATTGAATTGCTCAAATATAAATACTCAAAGTAAAGAGAGGGAGAGGAATGCGGTGATGTTTTTCTGAGATATTGGAGAGTCGCCACACCCCACTAGTCCTCGTTGGAGCACCCGCGCAAGGGTGTAGCTCCCCCTTGATCCGCGTAAGGATCAAGTGCTCTCTACGGGCTGAATCTTCGACACTCTATTACGGTGAATTACCCATAACCGCTCACACCATGACTTGGGTCATCCATAAGTTCCGCCGGATGATCACCAAGCGTTCAATCACCACCGAGCCATCTAGGTGATGGCGATCACCAAGAGTAACAAGCACAAACTCTCACTTGACCAAGACAAGTCTAATGAAAAAGGTGGATGCACACTTGCTACTCCCTAAGCACTAATGAGGTCCTTAATCTTGGATTCTCATATCTCAATCACCCTACTAGGCTCTTGCTCTCCCTTGCACTTCAAAGGTGTTTCTCAACTAAACAAATAGGCAAGAGTGCTAAGTTGGACGAGTAGAAAAAAGTATTTATACTCCCCATTTCAAAACATACCCGTTGGGGTCCAACTCAGCACATTTCGAGGTGACCGGACGCGCCGGTCGATGTGACCGGACGCGTTCGGTCAGTACACTATGGCTGCAACTCTGCCAGCTCAAATAGTCGACCGTTAGAGTGACCGGACTCACTGTGGAGTCTGGTCCACCCTGACCTGACGAGTCAGGTCCTCGAAAACCTTCTCTGGATGCATTCTGTTGTTGACCGGACTCCAGGTACGTGGGTGTTCGGTCAAGTTCCTACGCTGCGTCCGATCAAGACAAGACCGAAGCCCCGCTGCTACAAATCTCGGCACCTGCGCGTCCAGTCTCTACCTTGCCCCAGTGTCCGGTCTGGTGAAAGCCTTGCCTGCGCGCCCTGTGAACTGACCGGACTCGGCAAACAGAGTCCAGTCCCTGCACTTCCAGCGTTCGGTAAGTGAATTTACCCTCCATTCACTTCCAAGTCGAAAAGCTTTGTGAACGAAGTTTGCTCCAATCGATCTTTGGGCTGTCCCTGAGGTACCTAGTGTTAAGTTTGACAAGTGTGCACCGCACCTAACGCATTACACTCACCTAGGTCAAGCTACTAGTTCATACCCCCTTAATAGTACGGCCAAAGGAAAAATAAAGTCCTAAACTACTCTAAGTGCATCTTCAACGCCTATCGACACTTAGAACTAGTCCGTCCTTAACCTTGTCGTTAATCCTTTGAAAACCAAAACGATTTCCATAGATAGGGGCATGAAAACCATAATTACCCAAACAATCGTTATTACCATGACCTAACTTAGATGTCTCCGCAAAACACACATTAGTCACGGTAATCTTGTGTCGCCATTAATCACCGAAACCTAACTAGAGGCCTAGATGCTTTCAGCTACATTTGAATCTCATCAAATTGATTAGTTCATAAATTGCTTTGTCATTAATACACCAAAACCGGCATAGGTGGGCCAAATGCACTTACAATCTCTCTTATTTTTGTGATTGATGACAACTCAATTTAAAATTACATAAGATAAATATAATTAAAGCTTTTGAACCCCAACATATAGAGGAATCTCCCCTTTAATATATGCATTTGAATTGAATTAAAAAAAACTTGACCAAGTCATTATATATCCATACATTAAGGTGAAAAACTTTCCTATATTTTGAAATTTGTGGGGTGTCTAAACAGGCGTCTGACAACAAGTATATAAGAGTGTGATGCATATGACATTGCTTGCACAACAAATAAAAGAATGTGGCTTCCTTTGCACCGATTTATACGATTATACAGACGTCCAGGAGTTCATGCTCTTAACGGTATGCGATTGGGCATTGTTGGATAGGCAGGAGCGTTTGTGGCTTCTTCGTGGCTGTCAATCACATTTAGAGCTAGGTGGTGTTGGTCTTCTTTGCGAGTTGTTGCGGCACGAGGTTCGTTGTTGTTTTTCTATAGTTTATTTTCAGTTGTCTGGCTATGGTCTATATCAATATAAACACACATCAGGCATTGTTCGTTCAAAAAAATGTTTTGGACCCTTTCTTCCTATGCTTTATTTTTTGTTTCTCAATTTAAGAACACCTGCATATTTTTTCTGTCTTCTTTTCATGATTTTCTTCCTCTCTTTCTTTGTATCTTAAGTCCCTTTCTCACCCTCATCTTCATCTTCACCTTCACCTCCTCCCTCTTTTACCGTTTTTGTAATTTGTATACCTGTACTCTTTCTATTTTAATTTAATCTCAGTAGGAGCTTCTTGCTCCTCCTGTTTTCTCAAAAAAAAAAAGATATGGCTAATGTTTTTTTTCTATATAAACACCATGTTTCTTTTGCTTATTCCTTATAAGTACCTGAAAGGTAGGTATAATATAAGTGACAGATTATAGTTTTAATTTCTATATAAAGTTGTGTTTAGCCGGACTTTCATTTATAGACACTGATGTTCTGCAATCAAATCTCCAAAATGACTTCGACTAGTATTCTTAGTTATGTAAAGCAATATTTCTGAAACATAACTAGGTATACTTTTACTAAACCCCATTTGGAGACAAAATCTACTTGTATCACTTTGAAATTTCTAAACTAATAAACATATAAAAGGTAATTTATAACCAAAGTTTCAAATGGTTTACTATGATAACCCAAAACAAAAACTTATTTGCGACTAGAAGGAGTAGCTTTTGCTCTTTTAGACAATTTATCTTCCAAAATATATTCATTTGTAACTCGGGTCACTAAAAATCAAAGCATTCACTGAATTAAGCAAAACTTAATTTATTGCACAAACACCTATAACAAATTCAATATTTCACAACACAACCCATTACATTCATGCTCCGCAAAGAGCAAATGAAATGGCTCAGATCTCTCTGCCCAATCTAACTCAGATCTGGTAACTTGTATGGCTGTCCTGTTTAAACAGTGTCCCACGCTGCAACACCGTATGCAAACATTTGCAAACCTTCTTACTCTGAAGAAAGAACAATCTATCCATGTACACTAAAATTACAGATTAGCTATTACAACTATATCAGACTTGATTATTGTCCACCGGTATCATAACTTTCCCAACAAACAATGGAGTAGAGCGCCAAATCAGGCTGGGAAGCATATAATGTTGCTTGAGATCTGAAATGCTGTTATGCAGCTTCCCAGTGAGGAGCTGAAATCACGGTAGCACACAACTACAGTTAAAACCGATGCATCACAATGGATTACCAGGAACTGATCACAAGTGTATCCATGATATCCTGTTGGTTGTTCTTCTTGGCTATACCATATGTACCTTGAAACTGGTAAAGAAACTTTTTAATTACAAACAAACATATCCAGAAGTCTGAGGTGGCTCTGTCAAGTCAAGTATCATATGTAAGCAAGAGAATTCCTATCACCGGCAGCCTGTGGCCGCCCTCTGGTTGGAGTAGGTGGCCGCTGAATATTAAGCTCCTACAGATAATTAGAATTCCAAGACCATTGTAAGTTAGCCTATTTTTAATCCCACAATAGAAGACAGAAGAATAACTCATGGCAAGGCATTCAGTGATCAAATAGGCACAGAAATATATATTTTTAACTAATATGCATTCAGTAGTTTCCAACAACTTACAATTCTTGATCAATCCTCATTTTTCCCTCAGCCCCCCACGAAGAAATAAGTAAAAGGAGAAAAAGATTAATTCTGACCTGCATCCATGTGGCATCCCCACGTTCAGGGGAGGACTCAGGTGAATTAACAGGTGGTGGAAGTGGATGAATTAACTTTGGCACGATAACTAAGCCCCTGCCAACAACAAGTATGGCCCCTGCGTTGTTCGCAGTACCTGGTGCAGGAAAGGTATAAGAGAAAACAACAAAAAGGAAACATAGTTTAAAAATGAGCTAGAAGGTGCAAGATACATACCACAGTAATTTGTTGCTGAAAATAAAGTGATCAATTGTCCATGAGCGAAACGCTCAAACCCATCCATAACACACTCATGGGCTCTTATGATCAATTGCAATTTGTTTCGTTTACAGAATTCTGTTACTCGATCAGGCTGAAAATTTAATAAGAAACAAGTTTAATCAGCATGATCAACAACAAGATAGACAAGATTGATTCTCTAAAAAAGAACACAATATTCAATCTGAAGTGACTAACTCATGATAAAATAAAAGAAAACACAACTATCAAGAAGTCTATAGCAACAGAACCATCATACGGTCATACGTACCCCAAATGTCACTAAGCCGGGCCCTCGTGCATTAGGTCTCAAACCCTCCACACTATCATTTTCTGTAGGATCAGACCTGTATTTATGTAAGAAAAAAGTATTTACAATCATGCTATAGATGAATGTGAAGATGATGAAATGGCAACCAAGTACCATAGGAGATCCATGAGGATAATGGAACCAACATCCATTGTGATAGGCCTTTCAAGTTTCTCAATTTGCTCCACGGTGTTTATTGACCTTCCTATGCCACCATGCATGCAGATTATTTTCTTTTCTATCATGGCAGCAAGTGGGAGATAATTGAACAGTTGATTGAATCTTGTCCAAGCCCATATCCCATCACTTTCACCCTACATTGAAGGGTTCATTCAACTAATGCATGCAATATTTCAATTCAAATAAATATATGCAGAACTGCATGCCTACCATTCTCTCAATGCATTCAAGACGGAAGCCAAAAAGAGCATTGATGTCAGCAGCTTCATGATTTCCTCTGATCAAGTGTACATTTTCAGGGTACTCAATCTGTAATGTTTCTCAAAGATCAGAAGTAAATTTTATACAAATGGTTGCAGCGACAAAGGCATTTTAGGTATTGGTACTCACTTTAAGAGCAAGAAGCAAAGTTATTGTCTCCAAGCTGTGCTGACCTCGGTCAACATAGTCACCCAAGAAGAGATAATCAATATACCTAAAAAAGCAAGTGTGTTAAATTAACAGAAAGGGTAAGTTTAGAGTGCACGGCAGAACATGACCACAAAACAATACAAAAACAAAGATAGTGTACAGAAAAAACACACATTCCAAAACCTTCGGTTCAGTAGTTTCAAATGTACATTCAAAAGAGGTATGAAGTTCAGGGGCTACTTACGTTATGTCACCTGCTGTTGACGGAAAACCATACTCATCAAAAAGGCGCATTAAGTCCCCAAACTGCCCATGAAGATCACCAAATACTTTAATTGGTGCTTTTAATTGTAAAACAGTTGGTTCTTGCATAAAAATCTGCTCGGCAGCATAGCATAGCTCGCCAACTTCGTAAGAATCCAGAAAAAAGGTTCTATCAGCAGGAGCTCTCCAATTCCTTGGCTTAAGTAAGAACGAAATAACCTGCAAGAAAAGAGTAAGAACAGAGAATTCCTGCCACAAAATCAAGAGAAAGTAAATTTTGGACATACCTTCTTATGCAAACCTTGTGGTGATCGTTGTCTATTTAATGTTCTCCTGCCTGGATAAGATTGGTCATTGTTTGAAGGATGCATCCGTCTGCTTTCATTCTCAAATTGATCCAGTGAGAGTTGTCTGACCAAGCATCCTAAATCTCCTACTGCTTCTTTAGCAACCACAACCTTCAAAATCAAAGATCAGGAGTTCAGGATCAATAATTTGCATTGACCAAAAATTGAGAAAGCATAGAGCTTGGATGAAGAAAACAGCTTCATTTGCAAGAAAATCATACCAGAAACCTTTGGATAACACAATCAGCCATGAAATCTCATTCAGGATATTGCTAAAGCCTAGTTAATTGCAGAGGCCACATTATTATATTAGATTGAATAGGTTTCTACTTAGGTAATTGGTTATTCTAATTGAAGAAAATTTGTACTAAAACAGTTAGCCAACCAGTCCCAGCTCTATGCTTCACAACCATTGGATAGTTGCCTTCAAATGCTAAGGAAAGGACTCTTCTTGATTCCAATTATTTTGTAATGATGATTTTGTCAGTATCCAATTTTAAAAAGGAAATCGAATGAATTTGCATGAGAATACATACTGCTCTAGAATGTAGTTTCACATCTGGTTCTAGGGATCCCCCCATCATCGAAATCTTCAGGCATTGGTGAAGTTTCACTCAGTGGGGACTCAGATCCTATTCCCTCCGAAAGACTGTCTTCCGAAGATGCTGCAGATGCTTCCTTAGCAGCTCGCCATACAGCGCTGACAGCTTCAGCTTCCGCAGTTGAGGCCTCTATCAACATGTCAATTGACTTCTTGTCCGCACTGGAAACGATGTGAACTTATTTAGCTTTCATGAAGTCAAAAGCATAAAAACTCTATTAGCACCAAAGATGACAAGTTAGGAACCTGAAACCAGAAGCTGTCTCTTGCCTGTTTGTAGATTGATGGACAGGTGAATCTGAATGAAAACTATTGTTTTTATTTTGAGATTCCCCCCTAGGGACTCTATCAACATTGTACATAGATGAAGTGATTTCTGATTGGAAAGGTGCATTCTCAGCAACCAGGAAATCATCGAGGAGGATATCTGTTGGAAAAGAACGTCAGATTTCTGTGGCACAAATTGATGGCAACTTAATCATCACACCGAAAATTGCACTAGGGATGGCCTAGATTTCAGTAATGAATAAAAAAACATAAACTAACTGAAATAATGAGCAGGTCAGTTGCCCATCTGTTCAAACATTTGCTGAAAAATATAAGTGTTAAGTGGCTTGCTAAACATTGGTGGTCCTACCATTACCTAACATCAGAAACTCAGTAATTTGCTACAATAATGCTGCATGCTGTGAGAATCTACCACGTTATGAGTCTAGTTATCCGAATATGTATGGGCTGCCTACACTAAACACATTGAAGTGACAAGCCACTACATCAGAATAAGTGAATAACAAACCATTGGTATTGTAGTGCTATCTATTAATAACAAAAGGAAACTACAAGTCTACAACCTCAAAAACTGCCATAATGCCAATTAGAAGGGTTTTGGTTTTCAGATGAACCAAAACAAAACAGGGCAGAGAAGCACCAAAAATGATATCCATCATCATTTACCTCCCCTGAGTCCGCCATAAATGTAAATCTGAGAACCAACTGAGGCAGCAGCATGACGACAGCGCCGAAGTAGATCCGAAGCAGCATCATGCTCATTGGATGACTTCAAAGTACGAGAGGTCACAATGCCATTTCTATCCAACCAAACTCCAGCAGCAGTGTCCAGGACTTCACAATGTGTGGTTTTGTCAGGCTTAAGAGACAAATAGATGTTTCTGAAGGTAGGAGGAGCAAAAGGATAAGCTTACCTGCTATTGCGCCCTCTCCTTCAATAGCTCTACCTCCTCTAAGGACACCTCCAGTAACATGCAACCGAGCACCAACAAAAACCTAGAGTTCAAGACCATCAGGAGAGGGCAAAGCAAATTAACATTAACACTTAAGTGAACAAACTAGAGCAATAAGGAAGGAATCACTTTCAAAACTAAATAAATACACTGTTAAGGTCAAAAGGTTCAATTTGGAGCAGTTATGCAAATCAGCTGGTTGTGATTGCACCATATTGAGTAATTCAGCTTACATATGGTATAGGTGACTTACGGCTGCATGCTGATATCTTGGAGATGGAGATACCCCTGGGGCTAGAGTCCATTCCCACTGGCCATTTGTATGCATTAATAGTCCATAGGCGTCAGAAAGTGGCTGCAAATGCATTGCAATTGTCAAATAAATTTCAACAGATAGAATGGGAAATATGAAAACTGAACAGAATTTTGAAGGAAGTAGCTAAATTGATTAACAAGATAAATCCCTCCAGATCCTAGCATGGAATCCACTGCAGGTATCCCACATGATAAACGCATGCTACACTACCATGTACTATGAAACTCATTGCAGGTCCAATTCCACGAGAAGGGTAAAAAAACATGGCTTTAATCACATGTTATTTTCCATAAAAGACAGGAACTGCAAAGTCAGTTAGCAATATAACTGCCTTGCAATGGTATTTCTCTAATTTCAATTCTTTGCAATGTCAATGCGAAGATAGATCATTACAACAGAAGATTTGGCATATAAGGTAAGCTGAAAATATGCAATGAAACTAATGAAGGGGTGACTCTTTGGATTATAAGAAAGTATTACATAGGCCTTGATTGGTGATCTTCATTATTACCATATATAACATGTAAGATTCTAGGTTAGCAGAGCAGAGCTAAATATTGACAGCCAACACGATAACAAACAAAATAGGCAGTCTTTTAAATCTATCAAGCAGTGACAAAAGCAGAGGAGTCTACCGTGCCAGAAGCATCCCTTCCACCACATAGTAAAAGCATGCCATCAGAGCGTGCACTGGCAGTAGCATACCTGTAGTGATTTAAATTAAAAACAGCTAAAAGAAACATTGCATACTTATACAGACATTTGAAATTCAATGCAGACACAATGCCTAATAGACCTTAATCGCCAGCTTTATGTTGCATTTACAGCATATAGCAATAATATTGCATTGAGCAAATGTTCCCCAGCATGCATTCAGAGCATATGTGACTTTCCTTACAATTCTTTTAGAGCGAATAAAGTATATTAAACTAATCCACCTATTAAATTGATGGTCCTCCCCTATTTCTTGGAGATGGTTCATCTATACAGCTAGAAGTCCAACAAAGATTCAACAAAATCCAAACAAAGTAGTAGGACTTGAAGGTAGAGAAGTTTGCAGAAACTAAAGCCAAAAATCTGAAATAACTACCCTCTAGTAGGAACTCAATTTTGTTGATCAACTAATAGTGTTGTAGGATACACTAGAAAGAAGGGAGAAAAGGAGGACAATTATTGTATGATAAGAATATAAAATAAGTCAGTATACTGAACAAAGAATATAGAGGTCATGAAGGTCATTGGACAACTTACATTCTTGCTGAAGGTTTATCACCTTCAGGGTTAAGTTTCTGCCACCTATATGGTTTCTGAGCTGTGTCCAAAGCCCAAGCATCTGACAATACCCGCTTTCCTGTAACAAAAGATGGGGATAAGCCCAGGAACTTAAGTAAAGAACTACTGACCACAAGCCCTTAAAAGAAACAAAATAGATCACACCACTTGGCTGAATTGTAATCATGAGTTACGAGTAACAAACTAACAAGTACACGAAGTTTACTACTGAGAACCAGAATACTGAAACAGGACATATCTATTTTTGAAGAAACTGTCTTATCTTCTAAATAAACATTACTTGATTTTTTTTTGTAGAACCTCTTCAAGTACTTGTGAAATTTATAATGCCAACTTTATCTTCTTTAAAGCTATTCTGTTCAAACTTCAAAACTGCTGTTACATTGGAAAAATTATTTGTGTACTCACATACTGCACAGAAATGTTGTAAAAGAGCATTCCTTGGTGCAGATTAGATGACTCAGTTTAAAACACTGGGGGGCTGTTTGCTTAGAGGACTCAAAAGTTGCCTGGCCCAGGCAAGAGATCCCAGGCGTTGGATTTCATTGGCCTGGGGTCTAGATCTTTGCCTGGCTTCCCAACTGCCTGGCAGGCACCAAGCAAACAAGCCCTGGATTTATTAAAGTATTTTTGATGAAAAAACAGACAATGTTGCAGTTCCGTTATCTACTTATCTTGTTAGTGGAATCCAAGGACACACGTTATGAAAAAAAAGAAGTTAAAAGAGTGTTACTGGTCAAATAAAATGGCCTTCTAAAAATAAGTGTGACGTCATAGTAATTATTGCAGAAATACATTTAGGAGGAGCTGTGCATGTAGGAGCTAACCGTCATTTCCTGAAACAGTGACAAGATACCGCTGGAATACCAAATCCATGCAGTGACCATAGCGAGGACCAGGCCCTGCCCCTTGAACAACGACCCTGCATCAAGTGCCAGGGAGAGGACACGTCAGATCGCAATATGACAAACAAGATAAAAAGGAAAGCACATAGGAAAAAGAAACGGTGCATCTTGAGTCAATCTAACCTGTGCCATTTAAACTTGTCGTTTGTGAGGTCAAGGACATAGAGATCGTCTGTGGAGTGGCCTGCTGGTCCAATCCCACCCTACATCAACATTGTGTAAATTGCAACTGAACAAGTTGGCGCGAAAATGGAATTTGAAGATCCCAGGACCCTAGTACCTGGAAAACAACCATGGTGCCCACTGCAGCTGCAGTGTGCGCGGCCCTCGGAGATGGAGGCTCTCCAGCAGGATGTAACCTGCAGAAACGTAGAATTTAACCCGAGCATTTAATGAATCCATGTCACAAAGAACAATGTTATGCAAAGTTGGCAGTCACCGGCTCACCCGCACTACCACGGAGACACATTCCAAATACGCAAGCGCAATAGCTAGCACTGAATTATGGATGGAAAGCATACAATTCTATGCAATTTTGATCAGGATTAAAAATTACATACAGAGTTCACCACACTAAACAAAGTATTATCGCACAGAGAGAGAACCTACAGAATTGACCTCCAATGAGCTCCGAAGCAACAGCAGGACTCGAAATTGAGCTAAATGCCCGCATTCCAGGAAGCAAGAAGAACAAAATCTAAAAGACAGCAGCGACGCGTACCTAGTCCACCTGCGCTTCTCCACATCGTATGAGTGCACCGAGTTCGTCACCCCCGCGAGCCCTTCAGTTACAGCCAAAGGACGCCGTCATTAGATCACGCAAGGAGCAAAACCCCGGAAGGGCGAGACTCTTAAAGCTTAGCTGACGCGAGCGAGGAACGGGAGGACCGAACTAATGCCGGGGAGGCCCGAGGACGCGCCGGCCTCGATGGCGGTGGCGCCGCCGAAGAGGATGAGCCGTGGGCCGTGGCCCTTGGTGGGCGCGACGGCGGTGAGGGAGTGGCCACACCTGAAGCCCGGCGCGTCCTCCCCCGCGCCTTCCCACCCGTCCACCTCCCTGTACGCCGGCGCCGGCACCACCCACGCGCCCTTCCCCGCCGTCCCCATCCGCTCCTCCTCCTCCTCCTCGCAAAACCCTAAGATCCTTCCTCCCCCGCGCTAAACCCTAAGCCTCGGACGCCGCCACCGCCGCAGCCGCGTGGGATCCGAGGGAGCGAGCAAGGAGAGAGAAAAGGGGGGAGCAGAAGCGCAGCGCAGTGGAATTCTGAATTCGGGAATAGGACGGGGGAGACGACGGCCGCGGGGACAGGCGGGTAAGGTGGGGAAGCGCGGCGGGGCCCGGGTGGCGGTGGGAGAGGGTTAATATGGTGGGGCCGGAGTGTCGGGGGCACGCGGGTAAGTGCGGCTGTGGGTGTCGGGAGTCAATGGGAGTTGCTGTCAGCGACAGCTCAGGAGTGGGGGGAGGAGTACGTCGGAGCGGAGTGTGGGCCCGCTCCCACTGCCAAGGCTGCGCGAGCTGCCCGGCTTTGATAGGTGCAGTGCAGGTCAGCAGGTCCCAATTTCCAGACCAGAAGAGCTCTCTGCCTTGCTGTCCAGATCCGGTGGGCTTCCCGGTCTTTAGGAACGCAATTTCTCTTTAAAAAAAATTAAGGGCTTATTTGGAATGGAGGAGTTCTAAAAGAATTCAATTCATATATTTTGCTTATATGGTGTTTGGAATAGAGGAATGATGAAGTTTTTGTTTCCTATAGGCCTGTTTGAAACGCAGGAATTTCACAGGAATCGCGTAGGAATTTCACAGGAATCAGTTCAATTTCACAGGAAAAACACAGGAACATGAAATTTTTTTAGAGAGAGAAGCAAGCCGTTATTCACTAGAATAGATGAATAAACATGTTCTTCTATTCGTATGTTCCAGACACCCATTCCTATAAAATTTCTATATTTTTCAATCATTTGTTTTCTACCTACATTCATTTTCTTTTTTCTTTGTTTTTCTCCTCTTATTTGTTTTACATTTCTCCATTCCAAACAGGTCCTAAAGGATTGGAAGATCGCTTATTTACTACCAAAAATTTACTTGGTTTCATACTCATCATTGTTTAAACAATTTTGGGTTATTTATTTATATGTCGTCGTCTTCAACTCATGGTTTCTATGGATAGTTTCCAAGAGAGAGAAGTCACAGTTAACGTTCTTTACAAACTATCATTCACGACTCAGTTTCTATAGCAAGCTCTATATAGAGAACAACTTAAATACACCCAAAAAAAGATGGATCAACTGTGGTAGCAACAAAGTAGCCTGCACAGGCTGCACATATACATCTAGTCCATTTAACTCACACATACAATACATCTCATGCAAACACGTTGACAACGAACTATATATATCAATACACTGCTAGAGAACAGACTTTAAAACGATAACCTAATTTAGCATTAGCCTCGACATTTTTTTGCTCCCGGAACTAAAGGAACCTTTAGTCCCAGTTGGTAATACCAACCGGGACTAAAGGTCCCTGCCCAACGGTCGTCCACGGGACTGGGATCTTTAGTCCCGGCTGGTATTACCTTTAGTCCCGATTGGTAATACCAGCTGGGACTAAAGCTTTTAGTCCCAGTTTAGGTGATGCCCCAGAAATAAATATTAATCTTTAGTCCCGGTTTGGCCCCCTAACCGGGACTAATTATCCTGGTCTATACACCAGCTCATTTCTTCCTTCCCGAGCCCGAGCCATTTCATTCAAACTCACTGCCTCTGTTCTTCAGCTTGCTATTGTTCTTGCTCTCTTCCCCTCCATTGGTGTTGCTCTTCGATTTTGGAGGTAACAAACTTAATCCTCTTATGTTTTATCAGTAGCTTATCTCATTTTGCGATGTAGATGCATATGTAACTTTATATGTTGGACTTTATTATGATTTTATATGTCATTTTTAGTTCAAAATCACATGATGATTTGCATATATGTTTGGATAAACAAAAGTTAAATTAGTTCATCAAAATCACGCCTTGCTCGTCCTCGCTGGAGCACACGCCATCCTCGTCCCCGACGGCTTACGTGATCTTAGAATTAATTTTTCCATGAAATGAAAAACTTAGAAAATTATAGAAAATCCATACTAGTTGAACTTGCGGACCGTGTTTATCTCGGCGAGCATGTTCTCTGCTGAGCGGTAACGGGCGTTAAGGAGGAGCTTTGATTCTACGAGGGAGAGCGGCAACAGTCGTGGAAGACCGTGTTCCCTTCCTCGTAGAATCGGAGCTCTTCCTTGGTCAAGTACGGTGCCGTCCGGTGGAGAAATGCTCGCCGAGATGATCACGTAAGCAAGGTCAACTAGTACGGATGGTTATTTATTGAAACAAGTTTTTGAGCTATGTGATTTCTATGTCATTTTTAGCTCAAAATCACATGATGATTTACAATAGTAAAATCACTTGATAGTTTGGTATTTTACTATTATACATAGTACATATTTCATGGTTTAGTTAGATAAATAAATAATTTTAGTTTTGTTTAAATATATTATTTTAGAAAATGTGAAATTTACACTAGTTTACAAAAATAAGTATAGAAAGTAGATGACAACTGGTACCGGATCCTCGGCCTCTCGTTCGGTTGCGAAACGACTGAGGCCAGAACTCCCTCTCATTATCTGCGGCAAGTGTAAGCAGAAGATTGTGATGGAGTACCGAGTCAAGAGACAGGGACCCAACAAGGGTCATGTTTTCTATAAGTGCCCGGATCGTGATGTGAGTTTCTTACGCATTTTATTATTATGGCTAATTGATCTGCTTTTCTTGAATATTTTTGACTAAATATTTTTTGGCTTTAATTTCAGTGGGAGGGCAATGGATGCGATGGTTGGTACTGGGAGGAAGATTATGCTACATACGTGCAGAATTCGGGTGCGCTTGAGATAGCGGCTTCTGATGATGAGGCAGTGAGCCAGTAAGAGAAGCTTATTGATATTCAACAGAAGAATGATTTGTCTGTTTTAGTTGCGTACGGTCACAAAATAATTATGTTACTGAAGTGCATTGTAGTTTTAGTTTGTTTAGTGATAGTTGGGATTGCTTACGTTGTAGCTAGGCTTAGTTAATTAATCAACCATGTGTGTCATCTATGTTGTGTAATAAAATACTTAATTATGTTCAAGGTTTTCATAATTTGTCGTGTAATGCAGATTATGTTACGCCATTGGATGTACAATGCCGATCGCCGCTCCCAAGACTTTATTGAGGGCGTGCACTATTTCTTAGGTGTGGCCGAGGCAAATAAGCGGGATGGTTACATGTGCTGTCCATGTGCCATATGTAAGAATTTAAAGGAATATTCAAGCTCAATGAGTCTTCATTCACATTTGCTTAAGTCAGGTTTCATGTCAAACTATATATGTTGGATTAAGCATGGAGAAAGCGGGGTCATGATGGAAGAAGGTGAAGGAGAAGATTTAGACATTGATGACATTATTGCTCAGTATGGTGCCTTTGATGATACTACAATGGGGGGAGATGAAGAAGAGGTAGCGACAGAAGATGATCTCGGTGATGCTCTTGGCGATGCCATTCGTGATGCACAACAAGAATGCGAATGTGAAAAAGAGAAAGTTAAGTTCGAGCGCATGCTTGAGGATCATAGGAAGTTGCTATACCGACGACGTCAAGAGAGGGGCAAAAAAAAGCTGGGTACAACATCGGAATTGCTACGGTGGAAGGCAAAGAATGGTGTATCCGACAAGGCATTTGGAAATTTATTGAACCTCATAAAGAAGATGCTTAGAAGCCAAATGAATTGTCCACCACTACGCACGAAGCAAAAAAGGTTGTTCCGCCTTTGGGATTAAAAATTCGTAAGATACATGCATGTCCTAATGATCGCATCCTCTACCATGGCAATGAATATGAGAATTTGGATGAATGCCCAGATGTAAAGCAACATGTGGTATAAGATCAAAGCGCGATGATCCCGGTGACGCCGAGGGTGAACAACGTCCTAGAAAAAAAATCTCTGCCAAGGTTATGTGGTATGCTCCTATAATACCACGCTTAAAACGTTTGTTCAGAAATAAAGGCCATGCAAAGTTGTTGCGGTGGCATAAAGAAGACCATAAGGTAGACAATATGCTGAGACACCTAGCTGATGGGTCCCAGTGGAGAGCGATAGACAGAGAATTTCCAGAGTTTGCAACTGAGGCTAGAAACTTAAGGTTCGTCTTAAGTACAGATTTTATGAATCCTATTGGGGAGCAGAGCACTAGTCATAGTACTTGGCCAGATACTCTATGTATCTACAACCTTCCTCCATGGTTATGCATGAAGCGAAAGTTCATTATGATGCCGATCCTCATCCAAGGTCCGAGGCAACCTGGCAACGACATTGATGTCTATTTGAAGCCATTAGTTGAAGAACTTCTAGTTTTATGGAATAAACCAGGTATACGTGTCTGGGATGAGTACAAACAAGAACACTTTGACCTACGAGCAATGTTGTTCGTAACAATCAATGATTGGCCTGCTTTAAGTAATCTTTTAGGTCAGACAAACAAAGGATATAATGCATGCACACATTGTTTTGATGACCTTGACAGTATATATTTGAAAAGATGTCGAAAGGTCATGTACCTTGGCCATCGTCGATTCCTTCCTTTGAATCACCAAGTAAGAAAGAAAGGTAAGCATTTTAAAGGTAAGCCAGACCACCGGAAGAAGCCTCATAACCGAACCGGGGAAGATGTACTCGCAATGGTCAAGGATGTGAAAGTAGTATTTGGAAAGGGACAAGGCAGCGAATCTGTTCCTAAAGATGCTAAGGGACACGCACCCATGTGGAAGAAGAAGTCTATCTTTTAGGAGCTACCCTATTGGCAAGTCCTAGAGGTCCGCAACACAATCGACGTGATGCACCTGACAAAGAATCTTTGTGTGAACCTGTTAGGATTCATGGGTGTGTACGGGAAGCCAAAGGATTCACTTGAAGCACGCCAGGACTTGCAGGGCATGAAAGAACGAGACAACCTTCATCCAGAGAAGACAGATGATGGACATCATTACTTAAGTCCTACTAGCTACACGCTTAGCAAAGAAGAGAGGGACAGCATGTTCGA